ATTTTGCTCTCAAGATAAAATACCTTTATTTTCGACAAACCCTGTATACGACTGATAAAATTTGATATCAGATAATTGAAATTTAGGTTTTAGACCATGCATAACTTTTTATGTAAAGTAACTTTTTTTCTAAAATTAATAGACCATGCAATTGTTTATGAAAAATAAGTTTTTATTTTTAAATTCTTAAAAAGGTTTTCCGTATGCCGATGACGCCAACTTACATATAAATGAGATTAAATTTTTTGAAAATATTTTTTACTGATGCAGATCTAAATAAAGTATTGTTGGTAAATAAGGTACATTTTTCTTTTTTTATTTGGTTCTTTGGCTGTAAGACCTTTCGGTATATACATGGTATTCCATTAAGAATGGGAGCAACTGAAGATTAATTGATTAGAAATAAGCCGATTAAACGAAACATCATCCGTAGGTAAAACATTACTTGTTTCCGAAAAACAGAGTTTTAAAGTTGAAAATCAAAAATTATAAATAGCTACAATTTTTTTATTACTCAGTTTAATTTTACTAAATTCGGCAAACGTTATTGGTGTAATAAAATACATCTATCATCAAAAAATAAGTTAAATAAGCTTTGCCAGTGGCGTACGTCATGGGCAAGTAACATCTTTTTTCCTTCTAAATTTTAGTCCACTGTCCACTTTTGATGTTTTTTAAATAAACTTGAGTTAGTTTTTGAGATATTCGCACATATTAGAAAATTCTGTAGTTTTTAAATTTCGATTTTTTTTTTTATTAAATTTCTAAGAGTACATTATTTATTTTAAAAACATCAAAAAATTTAAAATTTCATGTCCAAATAACATTTTGGATAGTGACGTAAAATTTAAGAGGTATGCGGTATTACGTACGAATGCTGTACGCCACTGGAAAAGTTAATTAAGGTAACTTATTTTTTTGCTGATAGGTGGATAATTTGACACCAAAAACGTTTGCCAAATTTAGTAAAATTGTTGTGAGTAATAAAAAAAAAATAAAGCAATAAATATTTTTTGGATTTTAACACCTTAACTCGGTACCAAGAAACATTTTATCTAAGCATGATTTGTTTAGTTGTCTTATTTTTAATCAGAGAATCGTCAGTTGTTCTATATCCCATTCTTAACGAAACACTATGTATAGTATAAATGGTCCCTACGTAATGATACGAAGACCGTTGTCCTTTGTTGACTGGACACAAGAATGAACTACTAAACAGCGTTGGGTTTTTAGTAGCAACAGCTTGTTATCTGAAATTCAGATCGTGATTGTACCAGAACGTACTAGATTTGGCGATAAATTTCAAATGAGAACACAAACTCATTTTAAACCAAAAAATAAATAAAATGGGTATAACAAAAATATATCCTTACGTTGGTAAATAAAAAATTTAAAAAGAAACCAAAATAAACTTTATTTTAAACAAAAAAATATAAATTAAAATACGTAAAACAAAAATATATTTTTATATGGTTAAATAATAAAATTTAAAAATAAAAACAAACACTTATTTTTTATAGAAAAACAAATAAAATAAGGGTAAAAATTAAAAAATATTTGTTATGTCAATAGATTTACAATAATTAATCTATAATAGACTGTAAGTGTAGTATTCTTTTTAATAAATAATTTACCGTAATTAACAATGTTTAAATTTATTTACTAGAACATGAAAGTGTAGTCGATATTTATCAGGTTTTTAAATTTCCCGCTGGGTTATTTGTTTGATATCGATGATAGCGACACATAGTGGGCCAGATGTTAACTGCGTTCGAGCTGGTGGTTGTTAAGCATATGCTTAGGAGCGTATCTTATATTTATGTCCCTTATATGAAGACTCATACTCCCTTATCTCTTACCCCTTATTTTAAAAGTATGGGAGCACTCATTTCTCTCAAGATTCTCATCAGAAATGTCGTACGTCAATGTGGAAACGCTGTTTTAAAGGCCTCGAGGATTAAAGTTCTTACGAGAATTTGTATTCCCTCTAAATAAACCGAGAGAAACAATCTGTGAGTTCACACTGGCCCCAAGGGCCCTAAAAATACTGTTTTACGTTGACATATTATGACATTTATCTTGAGAGGAATGACTTTTCTCGAGTTTGAAAATAGCCTCCCTGGTATAAAGTATCGCATTGGGAGTATCAGAAGTATCTACTGTCTAGCATAGAAATTGGAAATCATAGAATACATTATTCTAGAAGATCCAGCGAAATATTTAAAATGTACTAGATTTAGATACTTTTGTCTTTTGTGGTACTAGCATTTATGAATGGTTGAAATGTACTGAATCTAGTACAATTGTACTAATAAACCCAACGCTGCTACTAAATAAATATACCGACGTGCCGAATCTAATGCAAAAGTTTTATTTTTATACCTGTTTCATCCAAAATATTTGTCAAGGTCAAGAACTCGTTTAGTTATTATCGCGTAGTAGCTAGGGGTGATGAATTTGTTAGGTATTTTATAACAGTTACCGTTTAGAACTAATAAAATTATTACGCCATCTGTTGAACAAAAGAACTATTAAATATGGAATATTGCTCCATCTGCTGAACAAAAGGATTCTTAATTTATGACACATAAATGACATCTATCAAAATTAGTTCATGTTACGAATATTGGGGGTGGTACTGTGGTCTTAAGAACAATAATTAATATATTCTGAAAAACAAATTAATATATCTACTGGTAAAATTTTTATTTTACGTTCCAAAAAAATGTCAAATATACCGGGTGTTCAAATTAAAGGGTTACAGTTAAATACCGCCTTTTATAAAAAAAAAACAAAGTTTTATAGTTTTTTGGGGAAAACAGTTTGGCTAAAATTGTTTTTTTTTATAGCAAATCATAATATGGCCAACTTTTTTTCGCGCAGCAAAATTTTCAAGTAGGTGTTACTCAATAAGTAGAAATCCAATAAAAAAATGTTTCCCTTAGAAGTTTCTTATTTTTTTATGAACTCTAAGAATACCTATGTAAAAAAATAGGGATTAAATTTGAAAAAAAATCCACCTCGATATGGCCATATTATGGTCAGCTATAAAAAAATTAATTTAGCCAAAATGTTTCCCCTAAAAAACTATAAAACTTTTGTCTGATACTTTTTTTTATAAAATGCATATTTTTGGCGATATTTAACTGTAAAACTTTAATTTAAACACCTGGTATAATCATCAATATACGTTCTTTTATCACAAAACACTAAATTATAATACCAACTTACTAGAAATCATCGTTCAGATTTGGTAACTAGAAACAACGTAACGACTTTGTTATTGAATAGAGTTTCAAAAATTATCGTTATTAAAGTCGTTGGTTGAACTGTCGTTAGCTTAACGATGTCGTCCATAAACGATAAATTACTGAATAGGGCCCTTAGTCTTAGTTTTATTTGAGGTTAGTCAAATGTCAATGTCAGAAAGCAACGTTATAATAACATCATACACACTCATTGCGTTCGGTCTGCCAAGTTCCTTTAACTCCTTTAACACTTTTAACTCCAAACGACCCTTTTAGCGTTCGGTTTAGTCCGATTAGTGATAGTTTAACACGCTTAAATGTCATTTAAAAGCACCCTAAAATTTGTCCCGTTCCAGCCCCTGACTATCCGAACTCGCCTACTATGATCATGGTCGATGGCCGTACGCACTGGCGCCCTACCTATTGGAACTTTGGTAACCAACGGATGAATAAACAAAAAAATATTATTATTTTTGACGACGATAGAAAAATGAAGACATGACGGAGACGAGACATCAAGACTAACATTACATTTTATTATCGATATTTCTTTTACTTTGGATTTTTTTAAATAAATTATTTTTCCATATCCAGGTTCTGATTCATACCATAGACGTTGCAATAATAAGACAGCCATATATCTGGTTTGGTCTCAATATCTAGGCCCGAACTGTCCTAGCCCCAAGAGCCGAAACCAAACCAAAATATGACCTAAAGAAAAAATAACACGCTTCCCTAATTTATTTTTTTATTTCTGTCAGACTTGCAAATGTTTTAGATCTATTTTATTTTACTATTTAATTTATTATCAGTTTTTTTTTTTAAATTTGCGAATATGTTCCCTTTTATTTTAAGTTTTTTTCTTATTCTTTCATACATTATTTGTGTATATTTTTTTTATCCACGGGCCCTGATAAATATCTTACACCGAGGCCCCCAGTGTACTACTGCTTTACGATATGTACCTATCTTAATAATACCATGGGGAGCTGCCATACGAGGGCAAGGGGGCGTCCGCCTTCCCCCTGCATTTCGGATTATTTCGCCCATGGCTTTTGACTATAGCCTGCCGCGATTTGACCCTGTCTATAAGACTTGCCTCACTGAAAATTTTTTAAACGGCGCCCATGACACCTCTACCTCTATTTTTTGTAATATTTGGTACTTGATTTCAAGAACATTGCAAAATACATTATGAAGAATTACTTCATTTTAATTTAAAATAAATATCTTTACAAGTATAATTCTGTAGAACTAATTCACATTATACCATCTATAGAACGTTTCAGAATAATTTTCGGGGGAAAGTACTGTAAAACTATTAGTGTGATGTTTTCCGAACTTCACTTTGTAACCTCCTACGAGATATAAAAGTCTTGCAGTTGAGGACATTCGGTGGTTGCATAGATGTTAGGGTTACATTAAAAGTACATTGTATGCGAGCTTAACGAGCCCATAATTGAAGCTTATTAACGTAGATGGGATATCTATTTGCGAGCTGGGTCTAATTTATAAATATGACAATCAATGTCATTTTATTTTTGAATTTGCCATTTCCTACTTACTATGGAAATTATCGAAACTTTTGCAACAATACCTACTTTATATGAATCTACATATAAACAAAAATAGTATAAACCTAAGTCAATTACTCTGTATAAAAGTATATCAATTTAATTATTATGTATGCCGCGTTTTTGATAATAACATGGTAATTATATTCAGTAAAGCAATACAAAATATATTATATTTGTGAAAGATACATAAATGACTTTAGTCTGTTAATACAATTTTAACCTTTATTCGGTTCACTTAACATAGTAATATATTCAGTAAAGTAAAACAAATTGCTATATTTTGTAAAAGGTACATGAAACGTTTAAACTGCTAATGCGCATTTATTTAAATATTTCTTGGCATTCTCCATTGTAATCCTTTCTAAAACCATTCGGGCAAAATTCGGGAACGTCAACATTATTTCTATTTCCAATTTCAACTGTTATATTTTCGACGCCATTTGGTCCCTCTGTGGTTTGATTTACAGGTATAGTTGGTTTAATTTTAGTTCCAATCACACTATCATCATTAGGTTTTTCTCCATTTCTATTCAATCTATCATCTTTCATTACGTTTCTATTATGCTCATTTACTTTTGGTTTATTTTTAAAATTATTTTCATTTAAGTTTTCTCTGTTTTTATCAATAATTACATCTTTTCTTCGATTAATATCTTCATTTGTATTTCTGGATCTTAATTCACTGTCGGGATATATAATGCGAGATTGATGCATCCTGTTTGAATGGTGAGAACGTTGAATAACTTGTTCTAAATTTAAAGTAGTAAATTCGTTTTTAAAATATAAACAACACTGACCCTTCACTTCTTCGGTGTCTACAATAACTTCTTCACATTTTTGGGACCCACACATTGCTTCAAAAACAAATAGCATTAATACTATAATTTTTTTCATTGTTATTTTATTTGATATTCTTTAATATCTGCCGGAATATCGTATACTATTGATGTAATTATTTGTATAATTGGTTTATCCTTCGGTTTTTCGCACAATAGAATTTTAATTATTTATTTACACAGATTGTGCATAGTTAATAAGTATCCGATTAACGTAGCCTTTGTGCGTTAACTGATGTATTAAATTGGCAATGGCTTCAGAAAATGTGACCCTGGACTTGAAGTTTAATCTTTATTTAGTAGGCGGGTCTGAAAACGAGAAGTAAAATTGAAATTTTATACAAAATGTCATTAATAAAACATACTTTGCATTTAATTTTTTTCGCGGTTATAAGTATACAGTGCTGTGTGCCGAGTAGTTCTGAGTCTACAAACGCATTAATTTTAAAATATACAGAAAAATTAGTTTTTGAATATTCTTTAACATGATTATTTATCACCTAATATTCTTGGCAGATTATAATGTGACAAAAGATGTGTTTTTTATTAATTCAAACTTTCTTGCTTAATATAGTTATTTCTATCTGTTTACGTTATAGTGTGAGAGCCATCAGTGACCGCCAGATCTACGTTATAGTATAACCCAGGCAGCACACTTTGGTATAAATTACGTATTTTTTTAGGTACTACCATACGTATGAATACGGTTGATGTACTACCAAATATATTCGTGAAAATGTCCGCCTTATAAACGTCGATTACTAAGAATTTATCCTCTATAATTAAACATTTTTACTATACATTTATATTAGATTTATAGTTGTAGTATATTTATACGAATTCACTTTGGTATAAAATACGTTTTTTTATGTACTACAATATACGTATGGATACTGTTGATATGCTACCCAATATATACGTGAAAATGTCCGTCCTATAAACGTATATTTTTTTTATTTTTTATACGTCTAACATTACTACTTTATCTACCTTTAATTATCCTGTTTTACTATACGTCTATATTAGATATATTTGTATGATTTTTATTAATGTGTAAAATGCGTCTACCTGATATTGTTTTAAATGTATTTCAAACACAAATTAAATAAAGTGATCAAAACAAAATTTCTAAAAGAGGCCATGGAAAAATATTAATATTTCTTAAATGATAGTTTGGATTTTATCCATAGCAGGTGTGTGTATACACCAGAAATAGGCATTACTCGTATTTATATTTTGGTTGTAATTGGCCTAAATATTTATAAAAATTTTTTGATCACTTGTTATATGTACAGAACAATATTTAATTAAAAAAAATAAACAATAAAATACTAAAAAATAAATAAATACAAAAAAATGAACACTAAAATACTGAATAACAAACTAAACGAAACTTTTCTTTAACTAACAAAAAATATATATGAAAATAAAAATCTTAGCTTAACACTTTGGACGGGCCTTAGCTAACTTAAGCTAATCTTGCATGGCACACCTAATCGTTCGGTCGGTTAAGTCGCTTGGTCCACCCCCATTCCTATAACGAAAATCTAACTCAATTTCAGGTGAAATATTTTCTAAAAGCTCCGAAATTAAATTCGTATTATTTTCTTGGAAATTATTATAAATAATAGAATCAGATGATATATTAATGTCCGAAGCCTTATTAATGTTATCTTCATTGGGAATAAAAAAAAATTGATTTGACTTTAAAGCATCTTGAACATTTTGCGCTATTTTTCTACGTAGATGACGCAGAGACAGAGTTATTTTAGACATTTTATTAAATAAAAAACAACTGACCAAAAAAAAGAAAAATAAGTATAATAAGTATGCTTGAAATAACTAGGTAACCAAAAAAATACGTAAAAAAATAAAAGAAACAAAAGTAAGGTTATGTTTTGAAGTTTCTATATTCATTTAACACACTGTACGTACCTATAAAACAGTAGTTGTTGTAAAATGCAACAATTATTAAAGGAGTAGCTAAATTAAAACATTAATAGAAACTTACCTATGCTTTTAATCAATATCGTAAAAGCTAGGACGCCAAACCAACATGCCACAAAACGTGTACATAAATGAAAATGGACGAACCGATGAACCTGCTCCCACAAACTATTCCCTACACTGAACAATAATACTACACATACGCATGAGTAGAAATGAGAAAAGACCGTACCACTAGTACGTCATCCTCCATCCGCCATCTAAAAATAGTTCCATGTGTATGGGGAATTTGTTATAAATATTACAGGTAATATAATTAAAAAAATGTGGATGTAATGTAAATAAATGTATCTATAAGCTTTTAATTTAAATAAACCTAAATATATACATATTATTTACTTCTGTCTACTAGTTCATCGTAAACTGGTATTATGCGTTTAAGGTGACTTATATTTAAACGTAGAATAATATAGGTATATTAACTAGTATCGACAAACAAAAGCGTTTAATTTATCTGTTAAAAAACGTTAAGTATAAAAATGGTAGATGGTAAACGTTTAAAAAATCAACCAAGACGAAATTTAAACGGGAATTATAAACGAAGAAAACATATTGTATAATAATGTAAATTTATACGAATTTAATTTAAATAAACCTAAACGTATATTTAGGCCCACTGTATATAAACAGTTCATCGCAAACTAAAAATAGTCGTATATTGTTAACTATATTTAAACGTAGACAAATTTACAATTATATACCATAGGATGTATATAAAAAACGTATAATATATCGTTTAAAACACGGTATGTATAATAATCGTAAACTGTAAACGTATACGGAATCAGGTTTTTGTACAGGGTGTCTGATTAAGGACTCGTAGCGGCTGTATCTCAGAAACTATTGATCCTACGGCTTCGAAAAAAAAAAAAAATTTATAACAAAAACGGTCAAGAGAAAATGCTGGAAATTATTTTGAACTTTCTATTTTAACCGTTAGAGGGCGTAATTCGCTATGGTAATTCAAAAAAATCACTTTTTCCTACGACCACTTAGGAAAGTGACACATATCACACTATATAGTCCTATGGAAAGTGCCCTATATCACAAGCGTATGAATAAGAATTTACTTTCCACCCGAGTGAGAATATGTTACTTTCTGCAGTAGTTGTCACAAAATGTCAAACACCTAATTTCTATTTTGATCTATGTAATGTCCATATTAATACTAAAATCGATATGATTGTTAAATTATTGAAATTGTTGTAAATTAGATCCTAGATATTTATCTTTAACAATTAATATTAAAATAATTTTAAAATAATGTTTGCTCTTTATTCTGGTTAAATACATAACCGATTAAATCATTCAATTGACACAAGGGCTATTGGCTCAGGTGGTTAGGACGTCGAACTTATCAACTTTGCCATTTTTCGACCGCGTTCAAATCCTGGCGGGGCAGAATTTTTTTTAGTTTTTTTTTGTTTAGAAAATATGAAAATTGAATAAATACGATTATTGTTGATTATTTTTTTAAATACATTTTAATTATTATAGTAATAATAACCTTGGTTTTTACATTTTTTTGATGACATTATTTTGTGGTCGTAGGAAAAATATTGTACATCACTTGTGAAAAGTGATCAATTACTGACGTTTCAAAGCCAACTAGATTAAAATATCAATAATTTTATTTATTAATATTTAAGTGGACTATTCACCCTTAATAGACTTTTGCTTATATTCGGTTAGGAAAAAGATAAAAAGACGCGGTTTTTTTTGTTTCTTGTCAGAATTTAATTCTCTTTCTAAATAACGTATAAAAATTATAACATTCCATTTAAATTTTTCAAGAAAACTTCAAAAAAATGGTTACTGCTTATACAACGCCACCTAGTGCTCTTTTAAACAACTGAATCAGAACTATTTTGAAATATTTTACTAAACAATCAATTTTCTTTTAATCGATACAAAGTTTTTTAAAATCTGATAAACGACACCGTAGTTATAATACATTTATTAAATTAAGGTTCCCAATCGCCCCTACCTGTTATTTTATTGAATAGAGCAAAAAGTGTTGAATAAAACTTTTGTAAAATTTAATCAAAATTAACGTTCGATTATTATTATCATACTATTATTAGACATTTATAGGGGAAAAGTGATTTTTTTGAATTACCATAGCGAATTACGCCCTCTAACGGTTAAAATAGAAAGTTCAAAATAATTTCCAGCATTTTCTCTTGACCGTTTTTGTTATAAAAATGTTTTTTTCGAAGCCGTAGGATCAATAGTTTTTGAGATACAGCCGCTACGAGTCCTTAATCAGACATTATAGTAGATAAAAGTGTTAAACATTTTTTATATCTTGTTTGGATCGACGATTATTATACTCTTCAAACAATAGTCTGCAAAGAGTATTATAAGTTTACTTTCAAGGAACCAAAATTTTTAATATTGGTAAAATTTAAATAAAATTGTACCAAAAACCTTGTCATTAAATTTAAAAAATGTTCATCGGTCCGATGTCACGTTTTTCGTCCGTACCATAAATCAAAAACGAAAAATATAATCTTGAAAATTTCAAAAAAATCAAGCTCCTTAAGGGGACGATGTCCATTAATTTTGAAGAAAAAGGTTAAGGGGGGTTGAAATTTAAAAAAAATCCTAAATCGAATACGAAAAATATTATATTTAGCAAAAATCAAGCTCTATAAGGGGAAGAAGTCCTTCGATTTTGAAAAAAAAATGATTTAAACTGGAGATTAAGGAGGGCTGAAATTAAAAAACAAACAAAAATCAAAAACGAAAAGCGACACCAACATGAAATTTTTTAGTAAAAATCAAGCTCTATACAGATCTGAAGCCTAATGATTCTGAAAAAAATTTAACTAGAAATTAGAGATAGCCAAATATCGATAGTAACAACTATCGATGGTGGCGATAGTCTTCTGAAGAACTATCGATACTATCGATAGTGCTATCGATAATATAATTAACCTATAAATATGACAAAACAGAAGAAAATATTCAAATTTATAGTCTAATAATTAAAAAATGGGGGCTTTCACTTTTTCAGGGTATATAAAAATTAAATAAAAACAACTAAAAATTGCTCTTTTAAATCCAATGTATTTCATCTTTAATATACGGGGTGGAAAATATTTAAAGAGTATAGACAGTATAACAGTATAGACCAAAATAAACAAAAGTCTTAATAAACATAGGTCCCCAAAGTAACAGTTTCAGAAAGATATGGTAGGTTATTATTTTTAAAACATGTAATTACAATTATTTGTTATGTAAAAACAAAAGAAGCTTCAAACAAAAATAAATTTAGATAAGATGTTCAAAGTGCACTT